AAAAATCCCTTTAACAGCAAAAAAAAAAAATAATTTTTTTTTTAAATTAAAATCAAATAATTATAATTAACAAATAAAATTTGCAACATCACAAAATGAAAACATTGAATGTTCCTTTTTTAATTATCTATTTTATTAAACAGAAAGTGTTAATAAATGATTTGTTATTTTTTATATTATTAATTATCTATCATTTCGTAAAATTTTAATTATATCTTTCATTAATCATTATTATACAAAAGTATTTGAACAACTAAGAAATTAATACCCCAATATTTTTATTTTACTAGATTAATAAAGGGAATCATTAAATTTTTTTAAATATTATTAAATATAAATAAAATAAAAAGATAGATATAAACGCTTCACACATTAAAAAATATTTCAAACAAGTAATTAAAAAAAAAAATGATGTTTAAGTATATGTTCATAGAAAAGAATTTTATAATGAACTTACTATTTTTTCAATAAAAAATTAGAATTTCTTAAAAATATTTTTAAATAATTTTTATAGATTAATGTAATAGAATTATTTCACATATAATCAATGATCTAATTCGAATGTTTAGACTCCTAAATAAGTTAAATTTAGTAAACCTATTTAAATATCTTATAAATGTATTATTGTATTATAAATAAATAAAATATTGAGCTATATATTTTATTTAGAAGATAGTAAAGTCATGTGAAACAAGTTATTTATTTCATTTTATATAGTTTAATTATATAAAAATAAAATAATATTAGTGAAAAATACTTTCACAACTAATCAAATTTGTAGAATTTAGTGTAATTTTGATTTGTTTATTCATTAATTGCTGATTTATTAACTGGGTGTTCGGTGACTTTACCAGAGTACTGAACAAACAAATTAATAAAGAGAATGTAGAAAAAAGCTCTACTTATTTTGTTTTATTTAAAGTAAAAAATTAAACAAATTATGTACATTTGTAAATTAATACTAAATGTTAATCGTATTAATTGCTATTTTATTTAGTTTTCTCAGTAATTTATGTGTATCATAATTAGAACTACATTTTTAATGTTCCATAAAAATAATACTCCATATTATCCTTCTTTCATTTAAAAAAAAAAAAAAGTATAATTTTTTTTTTTTTAATATTAATTTTATTTCTAAAAAAAAAATAAAATCATTATCACAAAAATTATTTTCTTTTTTGAGTCATATACAAAAAAAAAAAATATATAATCAAATATATCAACATTTTTTTTTATTATTTATTTACTTTTAGAGTTAGTATTTTTTTTTTTTTTAATATACATACTTTTAGTGAAAGTATTTTTTTTCTTATTTAACGTTCTTACTTCTTTGTCTCATATTTTTTAATTTACACATTTATGTATGCATAACTTCCTCTCATTTTAAAGTGCACAAATAAAAATATTTTTACTTGTTTTATTTAATTAAATATTGTTGAAAGTAGGTTGATAATAATATTTATAGACCAAGTATATATAACATAGGTTATTTATTATTTTTCTGTTATATGACTTTGCTAGAGGACTAAACAAACATATTAATAAAGAGCTGCAAAGTTACCTCTTCTGATTTAATGAATTTATTGATAATTTTAAATGCTATAAACAAGTAAACTGTATTTATGTATTTAACTTCTTTTAATATAAATTGTTTCCAAGAAATATTTATTTATTTTAATAAAAATCCTATATTTTTGTTAAAAATTTAAATCCTCTTTAATTATCTATTTTTAATTATCTATATTTTACTTATAATGTTATGAATTATGTTTAGCAACTTAAATACATTGCTTTCTTGTTAACAAACATTAGTAACTAATGAAATACAAATTAAATTATATAAATAGTACACCATGAAAATTTCATTACCATGTACATAAAATTTTCTCTTTAAATTCAAAATAAGAATTCAATAAAGAAAAACTCTTTTCTTAATAAGTTACTTGTATTTATCTAACATTATTTTTTACCATTGAACCTTTTTCCTATCTATATTTAAAAATTCTTTTTAAAAAAAAAAAAAATTATTTATGTGTTTAATTTTATAAAAAGAGCCTAAAAAAATTAACAAATAGCTTTTTTTTTTTTTTATATCTAGAGCTTGCATGGCTAACTACGTGTTTTCTGCGTAGTTATTTTCATTCATGAAAAGGTTAATAAATCCTTTTATTAACCAACAGGGAATAAAAATTTATCCTATAAATTACAAAGCCTTAGTTTTTTACTTTTTATATTTTTCCATGATTAAATAGAATTTTTCTATCTTTTAGAGTATGATATATTAATTGGAAGTTCAGTAACTTTGTTAGAATGCTGATAAAATTATTAAAAAGAATATGTAGTTGTTTCATTAATTTTAATTATTGTAGAATTACATTAATACTTCAAATAAGCAAACCTCATACATATAGGTTACATAAATGAAAAATTATTTAGAGGTATGCATTTAATTTAATAAAAATTATCTTCATTTTTAATTAAACTAAATCCTAAGACTAATTATGAGTAACAAAATATTTCAAAATAAAGTAAAAAATTTAAATTAAAGAAACTAAGAGTCTTGTAAAAATTACATAAAAGTTAATAGCTAATAAAAAAAAAAAAAAAAAAAAAAAACCTGTATGTTTTTCTCTTAACCTTTAATTTAATTTATCTTACTTTTAAAAGTTAACTAACAAGCATAATTTTCATTGATTAATAATCAATCAAAAAAAAATAATATAATTTTTTTTTAAAATATATTTAACAAAAGTAATAATTTTTTCATTTTTATCGAGTGAATATTTATGGATAACTTATTATTTTTAATATAAGTTACTAACTATTATTTACAAAAGATTAATAATATTTTTTATTAACTATTATATAAAAAATTAGATAAATTCACAATTAACTACTGTGAATTAAATCCTTATTCAAATATATTTTTGAAGAATGTTTTTAAGAGATAATGAAAAAAGCTGATTTATGTGTTATATGTATCAAGCTCTAGTGGTTATTAAAAGGCTTTATTAACCTTTTTGGAAAATAAACGGACTAGTTAAATGAAGAATACGCAGTTGGTCATGCACATACAAAAAAAAAAAAAAAAAAAAAAAAATGATCAATTTTTTTTTTTTGTATTTTTATAAAAAAAAAATACAAAGACCGTGAGGAAAAAAAAAAAATTAATTCGAAAAAGATTTGTTACCAATAAATAAAAATAAAAAAAAAAAAAAAAAGATTTTTTTTTGAAACAAAGAATGATTTTAATAAATTTGTAAGAGAAAATTTTATACATATAACAATAAAATTTTTACGTAATTAATATTTATATAATTTTTTTTGTATTGTTACTAATTGTTTACGTTTATTAATTCAACAGCAATATGTTTAAATTTCTGTACATAAATCACAACAAAGAAACAAGTAGTTTATATTTAATTAATAATCAGTGTTCAATAAGGATTTAAATTTTTAATAAAAATAAGGATTTTTATTAAAGTAAATAAATACCTATTGAAATCAAAGAATGCTGAACGAAGTAGATCACATAATTAAGAATCACTCGTTCAAAGCAATTAAAAATACATACAAATATATCAAAACCGTAAAAGCAACTCTACATACTCTTTATTAATTTGTTTGCTCACTACTCTAGTAAAGTCATCGAACATCCAGTTAATAAAACATCTAGTTAATATTAGTATCATCTTAATTTAAAAATTTGCAAAAAAAAATAATTTTCAAATGATTTTTAATTTATATTTGAAAATTAATTAAATATTTAAATCATTTTAAACTTTCATGTTTTATGGAATTCACATATATCATTAAAAATAATGAAAATATATATTTTCATCTCTATTAATTACGAGATATTTTATTTTTAATGTTATTTCCAAGGTCAATTTTGAATCTTGCCTTTATTGATAATAATGCTTTATTTAACCATGTTTTTATACATAATGAATCAAGATTTTACACTTAATAATTAATTAGATATTTAATAAAGACAAATGATCATACATTGTGTTGTCATTGTTAAAATGTAACTCAAAATAATGAAATATCTGTTAAAAATGCTATAGTTTTTATGTTTTTATTTATCAAAAATATTTTATTTCTAAATTTATTGAACGAACACAAAAGAAAATCGCTTGTGATATATAAAAATTTTTTTTTAGGATAATTATTGTTTCATTGAGACCTATTTAGTTTGCTTATGATTCAGTAAATAATTATAAGATATATTCAAGAAAATATTATTTTACCTTTTTAGGTATATCTTTAATATTTTGAAAATATCCAATAACCATTTTACTAATCAATGAGTAGTTTTTAGCTTAGTTTCAACTTAAGTATTATTATTAATAATATTAAAATGATTTATTTATTTACATATTGAAAATTTTTCAGATTCTATATTATTAATTATATATATGTATATAAGTTATTATATATATATCACATATCATTATAAAATTTATGAATCAATCAACTGTAGTAATAAACGTAGCAAAAAATGCTAATCATGATGATAGTTATAATTAGTTTCCCTAAAATATTTATAAAAATTGTTATTATAATATGAAAATATGAATATAAAATAAAACACCATTTTTGAAAATAAATATTAAAAAATAATAAACTCCTATTTACTTTATCAGAAATAATAATTGCAAAAAAAAAAATTTTTTAAAAATATATTTTTTATATTACAATGACTAATTTTAATAATTAATGAAAAAAAAAAACATAAATATTAGGTAATAAAATGTGGAAATTAATGGATAAATAGTTTTATTTTCACATATGTATTAATATATTGAACATAATATATGAATGAAAAATTATCATATTTTATTGGTATCCATATTATAATTCAATTAATATTCATTTTTACATATATCTTCCACTATCATTCGAATAAATATATATATGGTTATTTCTTTTATCCACTTTCTACGTTTATATGTAACATTTAGTAAAATATCAATTTTCTTATCTATTTAATTTTTTCACGTACCTTTCAATGCACGTTCTTTTCTCCTTTCTTTTTTTTCTTGTTCATTTTTTTTCATTTCCTTATTTTTTTCCCATTTTCTCCTCCTTACATCTTTTTCTGACTCATATAAATTGCTATCAAAAGGTCTTTCTTGAACTATTTGTTTTATAGATGTTGACCTTAAATATTTAATTTCTGCATTATATATTCCTTTCCTTTCATTTGAAAATTTGGAACATGTTGATTTATCAACTCTTTTGTAACTTTCACTTGGTTTTGTTAACTTTTTATCATATGTTTCTTTCTCCGCTAAAAATCTAATATAGAAATTATCAATTGATTTTTCAAAAACTGCTTGACCATAAAATATTGGCTTATTCTACAATAAAATTAACAACATATATAAATGAAAGTTTTTTTTTTTGGATCAACAAAATTTATACTTAAGTAAATAATTTAAAAAAATAGAAAAAAAATACATAAACTTTTGGGTGTGAATTTTATCTTACTTGCAATAAAAAGTTCAAATAAAAAAAGAACAATATGATAAAAATTCTACAAGTATTTCTTGTATTCATTATTTTTTTGGTTGATTTATCTTCTTTTCTAAATAATTTAAAATCACACTTTTTTGTAGTTTAAACATTAAAAAATAATGAATTTTTTAATGAATTTTTAGATGGGAAGTTACAATATTCTCTTTTCATTTATTCTACTTCTAAATTTTACAAATTGTTTCTTTTTCAAAAAAAGTATCTTTAATTTATTTCTTTATCAAAATTTATTAGGGTAAAATCATTTTTAGAATAAAATCTCTTTTTCTTAAAAATGAAAATTATACACATTATAATATAAATAGTATTATATATGTAGAGATAGTTTATAACGGAGTTATTAATCTTTTTGTGTATCTTTACTAATAAAAATACAATAAAAAACTACACATATATATATTACATTTAGGGAAAATAATAAATAATTTAAAAATTATATCTATGAGAAATATATATGAAATATTTTTTTTAAAAATTAAATATAATTTTCTTTTGTGAGATAAATATTTCATTTGGGTAGGAGGTTTTTTTGAAAAAAGTTCATATAATTATTTTTTTTTATATAATTAGAATGTAGTTAATTAATTTAATGAAATTTTTTTTGTTTTACAAAAAAAAAAAAATATATTAAAGTGTGATATTTTTATTATTACATTTATGTTTTTTTTTTTTTTTTTTTTTTTTTTTTAATGTTACTATAACACAATATATAAGAGAATATATAAATGTGGACATTAACTTTGAATTAAAATTAATCTATGTACTATTTTTAAAGTATATAAAATACAATTTAATAAACTAAGAAATAATAATAAAAGTTATTTAAAGGATAAAAATAATTTTAGGATATTTTTATACTTTATTTTCTGTAACGTTTTCCTAGAAATTTAATTCACTGTTTTTGTATAAATTAACTTCTATCATATATAACTAAAATAATTAATATTCATTATTAATATTTTCTTTTATAAATTCCATTAAAAGAAAAGATATGGATTAAGAATATAGATTTTATAATAGATACCTTATTCATATGATAGCTTACAATTTTCATTTGAAAATTTTTACTGATTTTATTAATTATTTTTGCTTAAATGTAAAATAAAAAATATAAAACTATTATCAAACAAAACGATATGTTGTATATTTCTTTTTTCTACATAAAAACGTTTTAAAAAATATTTTATATTTTAATATAATTATTGATATTTTAAAAAAAAATTCATTTTCATTCATAAATAACTAGATTATCTTTAAATATGTTCATATATATTTATTTTAATTTATTTAGGTATTAACAATTATTATAATTATATATATGTGGTAAGAAACTTTATATTACAAAATTCCAGATGAATTAAATAATTTTTTTTTATAAAAGATGTTTTATATAATCTAATAAAATATGGAGTATGGTTTTTTTTTTTACTTAAAATTTTTTATTAGGTTGTACTTTATTGGATTTTCCTAATTTTCTTTACTTTTTTTATTATTGTAACATTTTTATTAATTTTATTTATTTTGATTAATTTTAGTATAATTTTATTTACAAGTAAACTTCAAAAAATTAAAGCAAAGGGAAAATCTAAATAAGAAAAGAATTTTAAAAAATTATCACTTAAAATTAAAAAAATATTACGTTTCTATTTCTTTTCATTTATTATTTCCATTGTAATATGTGATAAGCAAAATATTCTAAATAAAAGATTTTTTATAATATCTTCTTTTTTAAATTATAGAATACATAACTTTTTTTTTTTTTTTAAATAAAAAAATAAAATTTCACATTAAAATTTTATATAAAGCCATTTTGTCATATAAGGATTTACTTAATTTTTTTAAAATTGTTGATTGCATCTAACTAAATTAAAAAGAAAGATTAAAAAAAAAAAAAAAACCCTATGGTACTATATTTTCATATAAAAATGCTTTTATATCATCCTTAATTTTCTAAATATTTATATTTATTGTACTTCTTTTTTAAGTTCTGTTTATTTTATATCCTAATATATTGACACATTTCAACTAGGATTTCCTATAAAGATACTTTTCTAGTTTTTATATTTATTAAGTTATTTATATTAATAATGTACTTTTTTAAATTTTCAATTGCGTTTTCCTATTCTTATTTTACATATAACCTTCTTCAAAAAAAAATGAAAAATACAATAAATATTATATTTATCTACATTATTATGTATATTAAAAACTTTATTAAATTTATAAAAGATTTTCTTTTAAATTATTTTTTTGAACAATTTTTTTTGTCTCTTTAGTGTAAAACAATTGTGAATTAAAAAATTTATATAAATGCTTTAAAGAAAAAAAATTAATTCTTCATATTTTTAATTTTAATTTTATGAATTATCAACAATATATATATAAAATAAAAAATATAAACTATAATTTTTCTTCAATTTTAATTTTTTAAATAATAAAATGCTAAAAAGAAATTTATATCTGTAATAGTTTTTTTTTTAATTAAATGTTTAATTTAATTGAAAGAGATTCATTATAAATAAAAGTAATGAAACACATTTAATTCCTAAATTTTTCAAATAATATGAAATATCGAAATAAATTAAATACTGAAGTTTTACTATATAAAATTATTTTATTTGAAATTTATATGAAATTTAAAAATTATTATAGTTCACATATGTTAACGTTAAAATAAAAAATAAAATATTTATTTGTTAATCAATTGGTTTTTTAAATTGCATTTGAAGAACTTTTTTAATTAATTAAAAAATAAAGTTATGAAAATTTTATATTAACACAATTATACACGATTACACATGTAGTTAAATATATCATAAAATAAAACAGTAAACATAATGAAAATATAATAGCTTTGATATAAATGTTAAATTCTGATATTTTTATTATTCATGATTTCTCAAAGGAATTTATATATATTAATCTTTTTTATTAACTTTTTCTTTTTAATTTTGTATTCAGTAGTTTTTTTTACCTTGTTTCTCCAAAAATATTTAAGAGAAATTCCATGTATAATATGAATATGTATGTTTCAAAAAGAAAAAATATAATTAATAATATAAAAATGACACAAAATTTTTTTTCATAAAGCATCAAAAAAAAATGAGGTATTTCCTTTCTTTTAACTACATAAATGGCCATATGCCATGTTCTTTTTTTTAAATTATTTATTTATTTTGTTTATTTTATATATATGTAGAAAGATTAATAATATATTTAAAACTATAAGTATCTAAATAGAATTTTGAAATACATTAAATAATAGCATTTATATATTAAAAATAATTATAAATGAAAAAATAATAAATTTCACTTTAAATAATAAAAAAGAAATGCATAGCTATTATAACTCTCTTTTTGTAGATACTTAAGTATTTATATAATGAGGATATACTTTTATATATGTAGAAATGTTTAATCATAAAATAATCAATATGTTTAATATCGAAAATAAATAAATTTTAGAATTAAAAAGTTTTGAAAACTTACGGAAAATTTTGATATGCTATTATATTCTATAAAATGTATTATGTATTACCGCATATTTTTTTTCATTCAATATTACTAAAGAGAATATAATTCATATATACTCCTAAAAGTGGTTTATGATTTGGTAAATTAAGATATTACAAAACATTATATACGTGCGGAAAATTATTAAATGAAGACAATAAGGAAATAAACGCGATAAAAAAATAAATGAAATTTTTTAAGTAAAATCCATATTTAAAGCAATTTTGTTTGATTAATTTATTATATGAAAAAAAAATATACTTAAAAAAAATTTTTTTCTTATTTAATAATGAATATATGACACAAAAATTTTTAGAAGATAATGTTAAATTTTTTTGTAAAAAAGGTTTTTAAAAAAGATTTTCACATTTTATAACTACTGAATATATATATATATATAGAGAGAGAGAGAGATAGATAGATAGATAAATAAATAGAAAAATATTATTATTTTGAGGTAACTTAATATGAAATATATTTGAATAGTAAATTTTTAAACTGCAAAATAAGTAACTTAAATTAAAAAAATAAATATGACATATATAAGGATTTTATAAAATTTACGAATATTTTATTTAAAGCTAAATATTACTATATAAAGGTTTATTGAAGAACATCGAAAAAATAAACTAGAAAAACAAGTGGAATTGGTTAACTTGCAAAAGGGATGATCAAATTAAAACATCATATGTGTGTTTTTTACAAGGCTGTGAACATAATACTTAGGTATGTTATTAATAAAAATTGTATGACATTATAAATAAGAAAAAAATTTTTAGTTTAAATTATCATAATCATATTATTGTTTATAAAATAAATTATCATATATTTCATTATGAATATTATCAAATAAATATGTTCTAATTTATATATGTAAAAAAGAATTATTGGCATTATATATTATTTTTTAGAAAATGAAATAGAAAATAATTCTTAATATATGAAAAATAGCTTCTTTCTTTAAAAAAAATTTTAATATATTTCGGTTAACAAAAAAAATTTCTAAAATGACTAGATGCAAATTTACATTTTTTGCTAACTCTAAAAATTAATATATATAGCATATTCTCTATATAATTAGAAATTTATTATTACTATTGTTTAAAAAGAAGATTTATGTTAAATTCTTTCTATATCTATAATAAGATTTTTTTTTAAACATATCTTTATTTATCTTTTTTTTACCATTAAATAATATATTTATAATACATTTACAAAACATACATTTATAAATTGTATAATAATTTAAAAAAATACTTAAATAATATAATTGCTAAGATAGTATAAATATAGTCTAGATTTAAAAAAAATTTATACAATGCAAAAGAATGTGTTATAATAGAAAAAACCAATACATTAACGTATTTTTCTTATTTTTAAATTTCATTTTACATAACTTGTTTGTTTTTGTAAATGGATAATATTTCTTTTAAATAAGTACATATTTGAATTAATAAAAAAAGTGATTATTCATGTAAATAACTCAACATTTATTAATAATATAAGAAGAA